AAGTCCTCTCATTAAAGATTATTTCAACTCCTTCCTTAAATTACAATATTGATAAAATGAGAAATATTTGTTAATGAAATCTGTTCTTTAAAATTAGGTCTTTAAAAACACTTATCTGCAATTTTTTCAAAATAGGATTTTTCAGAATTTGTTCAAAGTACAGAGGGGCTATGGTGGCAATTAGCTCAGACGATTCTGCACTCGCATGATAAATTGGAGATTTGGGAAATGAATCTAGCTTATCAGTTTTCTTTTTGAGCATTCTTTAGAGTATAAAGTGCAAATATTGAAATCAGATGCAGTAGTGGAATTTTCATTAAAGCTTCTTAATTTTCAAAAATTAAAGATGGGTACTTTTTTTATCTCACACTTTGGTATAGTGTTTTCCACAAGATAACTGAAGAATCAGTCAAATTTGAGTGCAAGTGTTCTAATGTTATGTTGCTAGTACTAATAGGAGAAAGTATTTTTGATTGCATGAATAATTTAATTCTTCATTCTGATGTTCTAAATGTTAATAGTTGTGATAATGTATGTTGTGTCAAAACGTATGACATTTTTTAATCTTTTTTTTCTGTTTTATTTAAACAATTTACTTTAATTTGATTTTAGAAAAATGGTTATTTAGAAGAAGAGGCAGAAAATTATGATTCCAAGTATTGCTACAGGCTTACTGGTATTTTGTCACATCATGGAGATAACCCCAATACTGGTGAGTCCTTATTTATGAGCCCCAGTTGTCTTAAAGAAACTATGCATTCTATTGCCTGAATGGTTAAGTTTTGTGTATTTATTACAGACTTGCCTACCTTTAACATTAGTTCTTTCATATTTTTGTTCTTTTAGGTCACTATGTAGCTGATGTTTTTCAAAGCATTCCTCAACGATGGTATCATTATGATGATGAAAATGTTGAAAGTGCCGGAGAAGATGAAGTACTTGATGAATCACGAGAAAAAAGTGGTTATTTATTTGTCTACACTTACAGGTAATTGTCAGTAATTTTATTAAATTGAGAAAAAATAAATTTTCAGAATGCGATGTTATGCATTTGTAAACCACTTAAACTAACTTATATGTGGACAATTTTTGTCATTTCTATAAAACAAATTTTCGTGAATTTTAGGCAAATTTATGAAAATAACTTCGAGAAGTACTTTAGGCATATACCAATACTTTTCCTGTGCCTGGAGAGTATGATGGGGAGTGGGGAGCATAATAAATTGGATAATAATTCAGTGTTAACCTGAATATAAGATGACCCCTAATTTTGGGAAATCTTAAGAATTTTTTAAATTTTTAACTAATTCTTACTAGTTAGTGAAAATAATGTTGCGAATTGTTTAGAAAATTGTCTTGTGGATGAGTATGTTATAACTTATGCCTACCAAACTGAGTAGAGTTTCATTGTTACTTTTTGCTCCTTCTCCCATACTGCAATGACCTCTGGCTTTTTAGGGACCTCTGAAAGTTTTGTGCATTGATATTTATGTTGTGGCATCTTTCAAAATGACGCCACCTTAGAACATTTCCTTTAATGTCATCAGATCCTCCTGCCCTGTTTTTATTTGTGCCCTTGGTTTCGTAACAATTCTTTCACATTCTCTACAAGAATATACAGTAAAATGTCACTTATGTTTTACAAGGCACTGAAGGGAAAAATTGTTTAACACATTTTTCAGGGGAGTAAAAGGAAAAAATGTATTAGTGAGAAAATCGCATAACTGAAATTGAATATTACGATCTAAAAAAACTCAATTTTTTTACATCGGCGTGCCACACTTGAACCTTCATGCAGGAACTGCTACTACGGTTAAGTTTATTTATTTTTTGATTTATTAAGTAAAGTACAGTAAAAACTGTATGTGATGTATGGGGGAGTAGCACCATCTGTGCAAGTTTACTTGAGCTATCTTTATCTCTATCTGAAATAATTTAGCATGGGAAGTATATGAATTTATCAGTAAGTATAAGCTCAAAATGTATAAATGGTATTTCACTGTACTTGAAACTTGCATTCTTGAATGTTTGTGTGACAGTTGCGAATTCATAAATCTGATCCTCCGTTTCGCGGGTAACATTGGAGGTAGCAACAAGTTTCAAATTTGGAAGGTTTTGTTTAGAAAATATTTGTTAATCATTCCATTCTGTAGTCAGATAAAGAATGAGTACATACTACTATCAATATTGAAACATTTTTAATATACATGTGGGTATTATTAACACAATCTGTCCGTGTTGTGCAAGCCAATTTGAAACCTTATATTCAGGTTTCACAATATCTTCAGCTAAAGATAATTTAATTTTTCTTTCTCACCCTTACTAATGTAAGAAAAGAAAGTATTAAAATTGTGCGCTGGAAAACGATATATTTCCAACACAAACCTTTATTGCTGGACCCAGGTAATGAAAAAAACTGATAAATTCAGTTTCTTAAAATGGGGGGGGGGATACTCTTATCATGTGTGTTGTAGTCAGAAGCCATGTTTTAGGCGTTCTTGATACAGAAAAATCAATTGACATAAAAGGTGTTCATTCACAACGCTGGCACATAAACAATTCAGCCTATTTTCCCCAAACTTTCTGGTTGAAATTGTGGCCTCTGGAATTTTAAACCGATATTTCAAATTTAGGTGTAGTTTACATGAAACCCCTCAGGGAAGGGAAGGGAAGGAAAAAAAAACAAAAAAAAAACTTAACTTGTTAAGGACCAATAATTGAAATAATGTTCTTTTAATAATAGTTTGTATTTACTCTAATACGCTTGGAAATATGAAAAACTTATTTATAATTTTTTTTAACCAATAGTCAATGTACAAGAAAATGTGTATATGCAACTTTGGGACCTTACTTGTGACCTAATTTGGGACATCAATTCATCTTGACACGAGTTGACTGAATAGAGTTTGGATGGAAATCAACATTGCATTTATTAACATTTGTAAATGTAGTACTCTTCTTCAATCTGCACCTCCTTCTGGCTTTCGTTTCTCCCGTTTATCATCACATGCTCTTTATCATGATTGATTAACTGATGATTCCAAAGGCGTTAACTGCTAAGTTCATTTGTCTCGTAAATGTAATGCATGTTTGTAGTGCGGTAGGTGGTTTTATCCCCTTGTGGATGGAGAGATCTGACGCCGACCTGCCTGTCTACTTAGTGTTTCCTCAAGCAGGTGTCTCCCACTAACAGGGCACTGCCTCAGCCGGAACCAGCCCTAAGCTCCTGATCGGTGTTCCGGCAAGTGTGGAAGTTTAGTGCAAGTGTGTGTGTGCAAGTAATGAGTAAGGATAGGACAAGGATAAGGAAGGAACGATCGCCATCCCTGGCCGGGTTGTTGGGATACTCTTCCAACATTTGCCTGGTATTGATTGGAGAAACAATGAAAAATCACTGATGAGAGCAGCTGGCTGCAAGAATTTTTCTCTGGACAGGGGCGGAGCTAGTATCAGCTCTATCTAGCTACGTAGCTAGTGTCAAAAATCCTGCCAGTGTCAAGACACTAGAACCTCACGGTCAGAGGCAATGCAATGACACATTTATGGCCTGAGTCACCTCTGACTGTATCCGCACATCTCATAAGTACTTCTTTAGGTAGAGAAGTTTTTGTGGATCCACTAATATGGAATTTTTCAATCGTTTGTGTATTCATTGACTTATTGCATTCACTTTCTTTTGAAGTCTTCAAATTTTATTGGAGAGTCATTGCTGAGGAATTGTGAAGTTACAGTTGTGACATCTTTTCTTCTTTTGCAATATTATATATTTTCCATGTTGACAATGGCACAGTTCTTCAATATTTCTTCTACTTCTTTTTCCTCCAGAAGATCTATATTGTCCTTGTGTGTCATTTCATCAGCATTAGGAGGAATGTGCACAGCATCAATCATATTTGCAGAAATAAGATTAACATCATTCTCCAGAAATAACTTCAGTAGTTGATAGAGCCCTTTATTCCATCATTCCTAAAATAAGTATAATTTTTGTAGAACGTAAATAATTACGCTTGAAGCATTATTTATACAATGATGCAACAATGCAGGATAAGACACTATTTCCAAGATGAGATAATTATATCAACAACGCAAGTTTGTTATCGGTAGTTACATGCCTATTACTCAACAATGCATTTAAATTGCATGTGTTCTATTGTGTACATACCATGTACTCATTAATCCCAGTGCTGCGTATTATTGTAAATTATCAATAATGAGCTATGTAAAGACTTATCTACATAAAAAATATTCTGAAACGATAAAAGAATTAATTTTTGTGGGAAGGGATTTTTGGCTGTTGGATCAGCCACAGCCATGGCGCAACATGCTCTGGTTGCCGTATCATACTGTGCTGAGGAAAGACAAGTTTTGTGTTGGTTTTGAGATTTATGGTTTTAATCATTTCAGTCAAATGTAATTGCGTTTACTTTTCATTTTGTTTTTTAGGTTGTAAGTTTATTAAGTGACATTTTTGAAAGTTTAATTTCTTTTTCTTTACAACATTAATTTAGAATGTCATCAGAACTCACTGCATGAGGCAGCTCGGTTCCCATGTATCAAATTAGTTTTACCCCGTGGTCCGGATTAATTTTGCTGTAATTGGAATTTTAAATATTTTGTTCGGTAGTCAAAACTCCCTATTTGTACCTTTAATAGGGGGGGGGGGAGCCTTGACCTTTCTGCAACTGCATCTAGTTGGTTTGAATTTTATTTTTATTGAAATAGTAGTACATTTTAAAATTAATAAGTGCTTGATTGCTTCAGGGCCTTTATTTGTATAATGGAATGTTCTTGAGTTTGTCATTACAAAAATATTTAAATTGCCAACATTTCTGTTTTTATTAAGCCTTCATTAAAGCTACAAACAAAAGGGATTTTTTTTTACAAACTGTGCACAATTATACAAACTATTTATACATAATTATTCAAAACTGTTTATAGGCTAATTTTAGATAATTGTGCATAGTTTATAAAAAATCCATTTTTGTTTGTAGCTCTGATGAAGGCTTAATAAAAGCTGAGTCGTTGGCACTTTAAATTTGTTTTTGTAATGACTGAAACTCAAGAACATACCATTACTTAATTTGTGTGTGTGTGTGTTTGTGTGTGTGTGTGTGGGGGGGGGAGGATATCTAACGGCATATTTCGAGGCGCAAATGTCGTGAGCTGAGCAGAAATGTTTACCATGTGCCTTTCATGCGTACATTCATTGTGAAAGCAAAGAAGTAGTGTTAATGGAAAAGGTACTTCTCATGCCAAAAGTCTAGACAAAGTAGGCCGTTCTTTGCTTTAGTTTCTTTAATTAATGGATTTAAGAGAAATACTGGTTATTAGCCAATACCTATGTCCGCTATGGGGTTGCCATCATTCGGCGTGGACACTGGCCTAGCCTTTTTTCCACCCCCCCCCCCCACACAAAAAGAAGAGAGGGGATTTATTAATTATTTTGGGCTATGTAAAAATAAGTTAGATAATTTTTTTTTCTACACAATTGCCGAAACATTTGGAAGTGGGAAAGAATTCACTGAGTCGAATTCGCAAGGGGACTGCAAATTTATTTTAAATTATACTCATAACTACACTAGGCATGTTGACAGACTACAATGAATGCCTTAATCAACGAATAGGGGAACTTTTTTAAGAAAACTATTTAAACATTATTACTCATTCCAAGAGATAGTACTTTCACCTCTATATGCACGGATGACTGATTTTGTTTACGGGGTATTATTAGGATACTGGGTTAAAGTTTACAAATGTGCTTTTACGAGCCACAAAAGACACACTGTCCACATTTAATTAATTCCAAAATGTATTTAGGCTTGGGTATTGGTTTTCCGCATTACAAGCCTTTGGGTGGGTAACCAGTAGCCATGTACTGCATTACTCGCCATGATCATTTAGTACACTTGGGCATATTATTGTTAAAATTAAAAATTAACTTAATCGAGGCCTACGTTTAAACGACTTTTATATACACAGAAAGTTTAT